GTTATTTTTTAATGCTAGGCAGATTCACCTTCTCTTTTCAAGTGTCCATATCTTACGATGTGCAAAGAGTATTTGTTTCTGAGACTCAACCTAAGGAATGCCCAGCAGGTCGGCAAGTTCCTCTGTGTTGATATCTGTGTGCATGACTGGGACTCTTAGTTCACAAGAATCAATATAAACAGCAAACAAGCTAAAGTGCAAAGGAAAATGCCACTTCTCAAGAGTTCTTCCCATTCCTTTCTCTTCTATGCTTCAAGCATATCGTTCATATATGTTTGAAGTATACTATTTAATTCTCTCTTCCTTTGAAAAGCTCCTAAGGGTCCTTGTGAAAGGTCAGAACGAGGAACAGCTGCATCAGTGGAGGCTGAGGACCTTTTGCAAACACATCTGTAAGCCAAGTTGTCAGCCACTCCTGGGCACCTCTGCTGGGTAGACTGCCCATGGGAGCAATGCAGCCTGTGAAGGATTCTTAGTGCCATTTTAAGGAGCCATAAATCCTATATAGGTATACATGAAACTAACATAGGTAGGTAGTGACATAATTGAAGAGATATACTTGATTTCCCCCTAGAAACAGCCATCAATCCTGGCATCTGTAAGAGAAAGTAGACCCACAACAGTGAAACAGGGTAGGCTGTAGGCAGAAGTGTCACCTCACCTGTAGAGTACGACATACCATGAAATGTGAGAGCAAGGACATGTGTGCAGGTGAGGCTAAGTGATACAAGACAGTTCCGTGACAGAGGAGCCACCTCGGAAGTTCAACATTGAACATGTGAAGTTCACCATCAGCAGACACCATGTATACGTTTTATATTAAAGAACCACTCCATCAGCAAATACCATGTACACATTTTATACTAAAGAATGGAAAGTATCAGAATGAGATTTTTCTGCTTCTGGAAAATTAAGGTCTACCTATGCTTGGGCATTCATAATTTTCTGTGTGAAAACAAATGGTGTACCTTCAGAGTAGAGGTCACAAGAAGCCAGCAAATAAGCACTGTCCAGAGGGTGAGCATAAAATGCTGCCTGAGTAATTAAAATGACAGAAGAGGCCTAGCAGTGAGCCAAGAAGACATAGCTCACATCTTTGCCGTTGCACAAAGACATGTCCAACTTATTCTGGATTATCTCTGTTCCCACTAGATTTATTTTCCTATTTAGCATCAAAGAGCTCTTGTATAAATTTCTGTGGCATTTTACAAAAGATTTCCACTTCTCTCCTTGACTACCCTGATATATACAGTGTGTATCTAACACACATGATTTTTGGTTCACCTTACAACATACTTTCCTCAAAGTTTTCCTCAAATGATATTTGAAAGGAGAGACAGAAAAAAAAAGTCTTAAGACCTAACAGTAACTATGATTTAAGAAGGAGCCCTGGCATGGTGCTATAGGATAAGCACTAGACCGCAAGGTCGGTTTGAACCTTAAGGTTAGCAGTTCAAACCCACCAGGCACTCCTGAGAAACCCAATACAGGGTCACTATGAGTTGTAACCAACTCAACGACACTTAACAACAATGACAATATTTAAGAAGAAACTCTAAGATTGTTAGTTTCTTTTTGAAGTACTGTTAATAAGCCTACCTTGTATTAAGGCTGAAGAAAAAGAAGTTACTCAGTTTACTACCTTTGATTACCCTGAGAGATTATACTATGCAAAATGTACCTCTTTGTTATAACAATTTTCTACCTGAATTTCTACCTTCCTCTCTAAGGACTTGTAATAGCATTTCACAGAACTCTTGGTTTCTTCCTTACCTGAAGCAACTCCTGTCAAATCTTCCCAACCTTCTTGTCAAACCCCAAAAGTAATTTTGCTTTGAAACTAAGCAGAAGGCCCCAGTTATTTCAATAATCCTCATCCACTGACAATAAAATCCTTCCTTAAAAATGGAAGCCTCTACACCCTTAGGCTTTCAGCTCACCTGATTTCCCAGGAGAAGCAGAAGCCAGCAAACTGGCACTAGAACCTGGTCTCCACACCAACCACTCTCCAATGTTTCTTTAAAAGCTACCCCACACAACACACGACCAACATACATGTTGAGTAGCTGTGTTGTGCCAGGCATTGTTCACTGAGGCACAGCAGTGAACAAAAGAGATTTTTAAAAAATAAAATCCCACTTTCATGGAAAAGAATATTCCAGTGAAATACAGGCAACCTCCATTTTAAACATGGGAACGTTGCTCTCTGTAAAAGTACATCATGAATGATTCATGGATAGTTTCATGATAATAAGAATTCTAATTAGCCAGACTTTCTGCTTTTTCATCCTGCCCCCACCTGCTGCAAAACAAAACAAAAATCCTCAACATTGGACCAATAAACAACATCCATATAAATGGAGAAAGATTCAAATTGTCAAACACTACATTTTGCTCTGATCAGCCATCAACACTCATGGAAGCTGCAATCAAGAAATTAGACAATAGATTGCATTAGGCAAAACTCACGCACAAGACCTCTTTAAAATGTTGAAGAGCAAAGATATCAGTTTGAGGACTAAGGTGTACCTGACCCAAGCCATGGTATTTTCAATAACCACATATGTGTGTGAAAGTTGTACATTGACTAAGGAAGACCTTAGAAGAATTGATACATTTTAGCAATGATGTTGGAGGAGAATATTAAAAGTACCATGGACTTCCAAAAGAACAAACAGATCTGTGTTGGATGATATACATACAGTCATTCAGAATGCTCCCTGGAAGCCAGGATGGCCAGACTTCGTCTCTCATCCTTCAGACATATTATCAGGAGGAACCAGTCCCTGGAGAAGGATATCATGATTGGTCAAGTGGAGGGTCAGAGAAAAAGAGGAAGACCCCCAACAAGACGAATTGACACAGTGCAGCAGCAATGGGCTCAGGCGTAGCAATGATTGTGAGGTTGGCCCAGGACTGGGCAGTGTTTTGTTCTGTTGTACATAAGGTTGCTCTGAGTCAGTACCAACTCAATGGCACCTAACAACAACAACTCCACAAAAGTATCCTTTTTTCTAATTAGTTAGGAAAAGGACTCTAATGTAAGTATGGGGGAAAACACAGGACTGTATCTTTTAATTACACTATCAAGTGATTTGGGAGTCTTTTTGTAGCACTAGACCACAAGGTCGGTTTGAGCCATAAGGTTGGAAATCCTATAAAAGGTCATTATGAGTTGGAACCAACTTGATAATACTTAACAACAACAACCACATCAAGTGGTTAATCTAAGAGGGGCTTTTGAGCTATAGAGTATCAGAAATTCATTCATGTACGCTTTGTATCAAAGTTGAGCACAGTGGCACTATAGGATAAGCACTGGGCTGCTAAATACAAGGTTGGTGGTTTGAGGCCACCAGCTGCTCCTCAGGAGAAAAATGAAACTTTCTGCTCCCACAAAATATTTACAGTCTTGGAAGCCCTATACAAGGTAGCTATGAGTGGAACTGACTTGGTGGAGCTTAACAACAACAAATCAGAAAGTTAAAAATATATTATCACACACACATACACACAAAAATATATATGTGTGTGTATGTGTGTATAGTCACATCCCTAGAGTATATTTTCAATCAGAAGCTAATTATTTTGGCTCTTCAGTAAAAATTTGCAAAATGAAATAAGTTCATTTCATTAGCATGAAATTTGTATGAAATTTAGACTTTTACATTTATTAAATCAAACTTGTTTTGTAATGGGCAGCCCAAGATCTGACCAGGTAATACTTATGTGCCAGATGAAGCAGGGGCAAAAGTGGGCTCTGGCCATTTCTGGCATTCATCTGGAAACTCTGCTTCCCAAGGATGCAATTTGAAAACTGTTAGGCTCGATCAAAAGGAGCACTGTGGATTATTAGCTGGGCTGCTAACTGCAAGGTCAGCAGTTCAAATCTACTAGTCACTCCAGGGGAGAAAGATGAGGCTTTCTGCTCCTGTAAAAATTTACAACCTCAGAAACCCTGAACAGGGTCCTCAAAACTAACTCAACAGAACACAACCACCACCAACAGTTTAGATCAAACTGTCTTGTTCTGAAATCCAAGGGGATTCAGCTATTTGCTGGAAGCCACACAGCTTTTCAGCTACACAGCAGAGAGTGACGCCCTGGCTTCTGCATCATATTGTTTCTACTACAGCATCTTGCTGGTTGGCTCCATACCCAAGAAATACCCCATTGCCATCAGGTCAGTTCTGATACAGTGATTCCATAAGACAGAGTACAACTGTCCCATAGGGTTTCCAAGGCTGTAATCTTTGAGAGCAGATTGCCACATCTTTCTTCCACAGAGCAGCTGGTAAATTCACATCACCTGTTCATAGTCCAATCCTCACTCCCCACATCCGCTGATTAACCCACAAAGGATAACATGAACCAAACCGTAGCTTCATGAGTAATGTTCCAGTAAGGGTAAACTTTGCTTTTATTCTAAAATTACACCATAAGCAAAATTAGTCTATACTTTCGAAAAGTATAAAATCTGACCACACTTTCTCTTCTAGTTGGTTAAGGAAACTAATCTAGGCTTTACAAGATGTCTGAAATGAAAGGAATTCCCTGTTCTCTGCCCTGAACCCTCTTTGATCTTCCAGATGATCCTCGGGCTCTTTTGCTATGGCATTTTGGCATCAGAAGCCTGCTAACCTAGAGGGGGCTAGGAGAGAGCAGGCATCTGAGTTCATAGTAACTTACTTTAACTCACTTATCTAGGCAATTTCCTGGCCTATCTGAGCCACAGCCCACTTCCCTTCTGCCTGTCACTGATAGCCCACTAGCCAGCAGCCCTCAAGATATTCCAAACAGACAGCCCTTGGCCTCATCCAGCCTAGAGGAATGACTTGGCCAGTTTGGAATTAACTCTTCCTATTCCAAGACACCAAAGCCACAAACATTGGTTTCTATCATGACCATATCACAAAAACACTTACACACAAATTATAGCAGTTAAGGACTATTTTTGAAATGCATTATTAACATGAAACCTACATGTTCCCTACTTTCAGGAAGAAAATGAAATCCCTGCCAGTGTGTTTGTGAAAGAGCCGGTTCCCAGTGCAGTGGAAGGGAAGGACGGGCTCGCAGATGACAACAAGTCCCTGGAGGAAACCTTGCACACGGTGGACCTCTCATCAGATGATGAATTACCCCACGATGAAGAGGCCCTAGAAGACAGCGCTGAGGAGAAGATAGAAGAAAGCAGGGCGGAGAAGATAAAAAGATCCAGCCTCAGAAAAGTAGATAGCCTCAAGAAAGCATTTTCACGCCAGAACATCGAGAAAAAGATGAACAAGCTGGGGACAAAGATCGTATCCGTAGAGAGGAGGGAGAAGATTAAGAGATCACTCACTTCCAATCACCAGAAAATCTCCTCAGGAAAAAGTTCCCCTTTCAAGGTTTCTCCGCTCAGTTTTGGTCGTAAGAAAGTCCGAGAAGGAGAAAGCCCCATGGAAAATGAGACCAAATCAGAAGACATGCTTGGCAGTGACCAGCTACTGAATGACCACGAGGAGAGCTCCATAGCAGAGGGGCTTTCTGAAGCATCCCTGGTGGAAGAGAAGAACACAGAGGGGGAAGCTGAGAAAGCAGCCATGAGAGGGACTAACTCAGGGAAGGGCAGTAATATCGACTTGACCATTGCAGAAGGTGAAGAAGAGGAAGCAGTGGCTCTGGAATACCCGCAGAAGACACACTATGAAGGTGGCTACATGCAAACCCCTGAGGAGACTGAGCAGTTGGATGACGAACCTGTGCAGCCGGCTGTGCTCCAAGTAGACCAGACGGCCTAACTGCCCAGCTCGCTGGGCCCAGCCTGTGTTCTGTTAAGTGGGAAACCAGGGCCAAGACACACATGCCTACACATCTCCAGTACTGCCCACTCACTGCCATGTTCTTGTCCAGGCAGTAATAATTTATTACATAACAGTAGCGTGCACATGAGCAAGATTTACTATGAAACCAATGTGTCAGGGGCCCACTTCTAATTTGGTCTTAGGTTCTAGTTATGTAGAAATTCTCTGAGTTTTGCCACAAAGAGAAAATGGAACAGTTGAAAATACTAATCAATTTGGATATGAAGATTTAAAAAACCCTCTGCCATTAAGTTGATTCCAACTAAATCAACCCTAGGGTACAGAGTAAAATTGCTCTTTAGGATTTTCCAGACTACAAATCTTTTCAGAAGTAGACAGCCTGAACTTCCTCCCAAGAAGCCACCTAACCCACTGCACTACCAGATCTCATTATACATAAGATACTAGTCATGAAATGTGATCTTTTTGTCATTCCATAGCTTACTGGATGGTATACCATTAACATGTTGAATTTCCATGGTATCCTGTGAATCGAATTATTCTTCTTCAAGTATGTGTGTGTATTTAACCTAAAGACATAACTATATTACTAGAATGAAACATTTACAAAAGGTTGAAGAGAATGTTCAATGGTTATTTATTTAATAGAAACTATTGTTTCTTGCAAATGAAGAAAAAAATTGGAAGACTAGTAATTCACTAGTGAAGTAAGATATATACAAAAGGCAGGACTATTAGGTGAGGGAAAAACTAAGAAAAGAAAGTCAGAAGAAAGAGAAATTGGAAATAAATGCCAAAGAGAATGAAGAACAAAGAGAAAAAAACTATCTGCTTAACGTAAAATATTTACAATATTAGTACTGTATTTCACTGTTTAAAATAACAATACTAAAGAAGTTTGTATATACTGGAATAATATGTTAAGGTTTCACAATATTTTTATACCTAATATTTTCAAATGACTTAAAAAATATATTTTAGAGTATTAAAGCTAGATTTGTTTTCTTAATAAATAAAAGACATTGCAAATACTTCTCTAAGGAAGCTCAAAAAGATGCTGTTTCTTTAACATAAATATTTAAATATTAATTACACTGCTATTTGTTGGAAGCTGCATCTTAGTACACTTTAGTATTTTTCAAATTTGAAATAATGCTTACATTCAGAACAATGCATTTATAGATTCATAAGATATTAAAATCAACAGGTTTGGACAGAGAAGGATTCCCTTTTCTGTAGATAATGATCATTTTATTCCAGGTCATATTAATTTAGATATTAACCTCACAGAATAATATTTTTTAACTTCTTAATGCATGCCAATGTTAATGTGTATGTACACATTTATTCAAATGGTAATTTTTACTGCTGCCTAACATTATACTAAACTTTATCTGTTGTTTTTTATTATGAAATTCTAATGTTTTAAGAAAATTATTTAATTGTAGTTTAAAGACAGTTGACCCCCAGAGAGCAAATTCCAAACATTTAGTATAGTGTGTACCACCACAAATAACCCTGAAAGTATAGGTAACCAAGATAATATTAACAAACTCTGCATTATTTTCATCAAAGGTGTAGGATTAACCAATGTGTTGATGGCATAGCCTATGTCTTATTTTGCAATAATGTAACTCCAAATATTGGACTGTTAGACTAACAACGGCTGTGTTCAAGAAGATAAAATAAACCAAAAATAAAAAGTATATTGCAATGTAAGTTTTTTGGCAGAACAATTTTAGAACAAACAGAAAGAATTGATTTTTAAACTGGACTCCAAACAAAGCAGTGACGTTGATTGTTTCAATCTTGATTTCCCCGATTAACTATGCTTTCTTTCTCCCTGATCTCATTTAGAAATCCAAGTCTCATTCTTCAAGTTTAACTTTCCTGACATCACCTTCCCAGCTCTGGAGAACATCTGAATTTACTGCAACAACCTGATGAATTTGATAGTTCCATCTGCATCTTTATTATATTGTACCAGACCTTCTAATACCTTAAATAGTTCTGCAAACATGAATGTATTGAACTGTACATTCAGTTTATTCAGACAGATAAACCTTTGTCTGCTTCAGTGCCATATACTTGGTAGAATATTTAATTCTACTCGTGGCCCTAAGCACATCTGTTTAACCTTTGAGGAGTTGCTGTCACTTGCAACCGAGGAGTTGGAAGACCCAGAGCTAAGGCAATATTCACATTTCCTTTTCGAAAATGCTTATTTCATTTGTTGCTATAAAATAGCTGCATGTCAGTGGGAAACTGCACTCAAGCATTGTTTTAGGTTTTACTGACAATCGTACTTAGTCTATGTTCCACATTCAAAGCTTTAAGGTCCTAAGCAATAAAACAGAATTAGGCCAAATAATCGCTTGAAAACACAAACTGTAGGGATTAGAGACAGCAAATGTTAAACAGAAGCTAGTTATTTTGTGTTACTGTTGAATTTTTTTGCATACTGGTGAGTCTGCAAAGTCCCCAAATTATATATGTCTTCTTCCCATACATCCAATAACTGATTCCCAACTTTGTGCCTGGAACTCAAGAACTGGATTCGTTTTCTCCAAGGATTGGTTATAAAGACTGAGACCGTATCCTAGAAATGTAATTCAAGAGTCAGAAATGTCTATTATAGATATTACTAATCTCACAGAAATAATACAAAGATGTTACTTGTCTGCAAGTTTTTAGTTTAAAAATAGGTAGGTAGATAGATAGATGGGTATATAGATAGATGACAGATTTATAGATATACATGGTGGACTAGATAGGTATCGATAGATCAGATAGATGATGGATACAGCTTTATTAGATGGACATATTATATAGATGATAGATATTTCAACAGGAATATTTTTTTCTCCTTTCACTGAGCAATCAAGGATATGGCTTAATTACGGATTCTTTTTAGACATTTAAAACAAAACAAAACAAAACAAAAAGGCCAAGACTAAGGTCAATTCTACAGAAAACGAAGATTTTCAACATTTATTGTATGAGTGAACCCTAAAAAATATTTCTGCATTTAACAGTACTCATTTAGAAGAGCAAAGTTTGAATCTCATGCATTTCAGCTCACTCTCAGGAAATTACAAGTTCTTTCCACAAAGCCAAGCTGTTAGTATAAGTAGAGGTTACAGTGAAAGTCATTCTCTACATTAAGATACTAATGCCCAGGCCAGTTAATTCCTGCTCCAATGTTTGTTTACTGCCCTACAGCCCAAATCTAAGTGATTTTATAGTGAAGATTGGAGTATGAGGAATTGAAGTACAGGCAGCAATCATTATTAACAGTTCCATAGCAACCACAGGTCTTTTCCTAAAAACCACGACTCTGACACTGCAAAACAAGTTTCAGATGAAATTGGCATTGTGACCTTTGTATTCTGCTTGATCTGGGTGTCTAGATAAAGACTTCTGCAGCCAGGAACTCATTCCTGAAGGGAATAGGCAGCAACCCACATTATTAAGGGCACATTCTTTTTATTTCTTTTTTACCATTACATTATCCTACAGTATTTGAAACTCTACAAACATTTTTAACTCTCTGTACAAACTGCCCCAATTAAGAAGCCACACCTTTAGCAGAACAGCTTGATGTTCTTCATACATTTAAACATTTTCTACAGTGAAATAAATTCATTAAATATGTATTGAGCTATGAAACCTTTAGTCCCCATATTTGCTAGGTTTTTACTGTCCAAATCAGTCAGATCCAGCATAGGGGAAAGGGAATTTTTCATAATTTACTTTATGCCAGGCAAGGTGTTCTCATGGCCACCAATAATGTGTACTTACCAAGTGCTGTGCTAAGACTCCCTAAGTGATGACACAGGCAATGCGCTTGGCTGCTAACCAAAATTTTGGAGATTTGGGGCTACCCAGAAATGCCTTAGAAGTAAGCCTTGACAATCTGCTTCTGAATACTCATCCATTGAAAACTCCATGGAGCACATGGTCATCATGAGTTGGAATGGATTCAACAGCAACTGGTTACTGGTGAACTACATGCTAGCTATGAACACTGTCTCATTAAATCATACAAAATCCTAGGAGGAAGCTGCTGGTTTTATACCTGTTTAATAGAGTAGAAACATGAGACCTTCAAGGTTCATTTTCTCCCTTTTGGAAGATGAAAAGGAGGAGTGGTGAGAGGTTTTCAAACCTGACTGCAGAATTTTTAACCACTCTTAAGTTTTCACTCATTATAATATAACTATTATTTCATTGAGGGTCACAGAGTTCCAGAGACTTGTCCAAATCCCCCTTAGTGAGTGACAGGGCGAATGTTCAATCATAGTCTGAAAACCATGCCACTGCTAAGACAGACTTCTGGTTATATCACACGCTTGTGTGAATCACTTTATCAGCTCTCTGATGATCTAGTAGTACTTCATTTTTAGTGCTTTTATATAGAATCATATAGAGAGCTGTACTTTTAAAATGATTTTTATGATTGTCATACCAGTGCTAAGAAACCAGCACAGAGTTTTGGTGGCCATAGAGTTACTATTATTCAGGGTTGCTGAGGCCAAAGAGAAGCTTCTCAGCACCCTGGCATTGTCTGTTATCAATAGCTTCAGGGTTTACTTTGGGGCAAAGTTTAATAAGGGTAAACTGTCAACTGGAATTGGCTAATTCAAGGATAGCACATGAAGTCTGCTTCAAATTCTTTAAGTTACATGAGTTATATTCCTGTGTCAAACTAGGGAAATCATTATAACTTGCCTAGAACATCCTCTCACACAGCGGAAAAAAGGAACAAATGGAAAATCAGCACTGAGGGACAATGGGAGATGGAGGTTCAGAAAGTGGGGTGAACCATGTGGATACGGAAAGTTAGCCTCTTAATATAATTCCTGTGAAACCTTTCAGCTGTCTTCTCAAGAAAAATAGAAGTAGGTCAAGTAAATATTGGTGTGTCTTCCATCTCTGTCCGCAAGGCATCAAAGAAAACCCTCTAGGCCAGCCCT